TACATTCCAGCCCTAGGCACCTCCCACTGCTTCTCTTCTCACCCTCACCTCACCCCAAGGTACCCAAACTCCACTCACACCAGACTCCTCACCCCTCATCACACAAAACGTGGATCATCTCAGCCTGCGTGTTTGAGAATTATCCTCCTCCTGTGGAGAAGACCCATTCTCTCCACTCTTTGACTCTTTAAGATCCGTTAACTGTCATTCTCTAGGTGAACATTTTTCTCATGCGCGGTGTGCTGGCAAACACTCAACAGCCTGTTTACCAGGGAAAATGGCCCCGGTGTGTGGCATTTGCAGATTCTCTTCCCTGCACCCGATTTCAGGCACCAACACGCAGCCCCTGAGCGAGGAGTTAGCCGAGACTTGCCCAGGGTCCTCTCACTGGCAGCACCTGCGGCTGCTTTCATGCTGATGTTTGGCACAGTTCATTGTCAGCGGCATGGCCTCTTCCAAAGTGGAGACCACGGTCATTCATGTTTCAGTGGGCAGCGGTGGCCATGTGGCAGGCTGCGTAGGATAGGGCCCACAAGAACACTTGAGTGAATGATTTGGGTAATAAATAGTATTCTATATAGCACTTTCCACACACCCCTAATTCAGTCAAAACTGAGGACTGTGTAGCAGCGGCTCAGGGGTGGGAACTGGGCCGGAGGACAGAGCCCGCACCTGCAATGTGAGCAGACAGCCACGTGGAAAGAACCTCCCTTCGCCCCCCTGGCCCCTCTGTCGCTGGAGCTGCCCCCGTTTTCCACTTCCTTCCGGAGACTAAGGTCTCCCGTAGGGCTGGGGCGCTCGCTCAGCAGTCCCTGTGGCATCGATACCTTTACAGCCTCCTGAGAAGTCAGCAAGCTGCCAAGTTAAGGTTGAGAAGGACACATGTTAAAAGCACATCTTTAAAGATCCCTCTGTACATTAGCCTCTTCCGCTCTGAGGAAAATTGAGAGAGCAGGGTTGCCTAGATTCTGGAAATACACCATAATACCCCAGGCATAAAGATATTAGAACCTAAAAGTTATAAAAAGACAGAGGCCAAAAGAAAAAGGGATAAATATTTGAATAGAAAAAAAAATGGAATTTTAGTTAAAATTAATTGTTTTGTCCCAGCTGGGTGGCTCAGTTGGTTGGAGTGTCCTCTTGTACATAAAAAAGTTAAGGGCTCGATTCCCAGTCAAGGCACATACCTAGGTGTGGATTCAATCCCCTTTTGGGTACAGAAACAACCAATCAGTTTTCTCTTCTCTTCTCTTCTCTTCTCTTCTCTTCTCTTCTCTTCTCTTCTCTTCTCTTCTCTTCTCTTCTCTTCTCTTCTCTTTCTCTCTCTCTCTCTCTCTCTCTCTCTCTCTCTCTCTCTCTCTCTCTTTCTCAAATTTTAAAAATCAATAAACATAGCCTCAGGTGAGATTTTTTTTCAATATTTTTTTTTTAAAACATAGAAAATGCTGCCGAAACCGGTTTGGCTCAGTGGATAGAGCGTCAGTCTGTGGACTGAAAGGTCCTGGGTTCAATTCCGGTCAGGGGCATGTACGGTGGTTGCGGGCACATTCCCAGTAGGGAGTGTGCAAGTGGCAGCTGGTTGATGATTCTCTTTCATCAATGTTTCTAACTCTCTATCCCTCTCTCTTCCTCTCTATAAAAAAAATCAATAAAATATATTTTTTTAAAAAGAAAATGCTGTCATCCAGTTTTAGAATTTCAAGTTAAAATAAGAGATTATATTGTTATCAATAAAAAAAGTTACCATTTTTTTTTTCATGTAAAAGGTGTTTTATGTGTCTTCATTATTTAATATACTAAATTTTAATTTTAGGTGCTTACATTTTCACAGCTTAAACAGAGCAAGCACCGTGAGTGTTGAATATGAAGTTATCTTTGCATGTTACAGCAAGTAAAATTCTAAGATAACATGTATTTTGCCTTATCTTTCTTTTGAATTATGTGCTGTGAGGATTTGCAGTGGGACATAAGAAGTATGTGAAAAAGAGAGTTAATGAACTCAGGAAAATAACCAAAATCAGGAATAGCGATACTAAATACATGAGTATCTTTGTATCTGAACTTCAGTCTGTCCTGCTGTTGGTCAGCTTCGAAAGTTCAATCACTTATCGACTCAGATGTTTTATTTGAATATTTTAAGTGTTGGTGAGGTTATAAATGTGTGGTGTTAATTTAATTCTGATTTGGTTATTTAGAAAATATTGAAGTGAATCTGAGTATATTTGAGACATAGTTTTTAATGTCTTTTCTTACTGCTTGTGATTAAATTTGAGTAAATGTATTCTAATTTTATAAAAGGGTAGGAAAACCTCTTACCTGGGTCCATGAGAAACTCAACAAGAGATAACATTTCCTCAGGAACAGTGTGGCAGTGTGGAGAGCACCACTGTGAATATATAGAGTAGAATGTCTGCCTTATGCACTCATTTGATTTGAAAAAATAAATAAGGGATGATGAACTGGCTGTCAGAATGTTCATTTTATATTTAAAATTTAATTTTTATTTGAGCGTTTTCCGAGTATCTGTTCATACTGAGCTCAGAAGAATGGCTCTACATAATTTATTTCCCTTCCAACTTAGCGTCTTACTTTTCTTTTCTCTGGTTCTGGTTTTTACAAGTTTTTTAGTGAAAAATTTCTGTGAGATTATCCTTCTTACATATTTTATATATTTATATACTTTATATCTTCCCCTTCTCATTTCTCTTAAATATGTACAGTTTATTTCTAGACACTTAACTACTCCTTCTTTCTGCTTTTCATCTTGTGCTTCTAAATATAGTCATGATTTTTGGAGCTTTTCCATACTTTCCATTGTTTGTGTCTGTTGGATGGATTTTATGATCTGGCTACCCTGCTTGCTGTTAAGGGTCAGCCTCTTTTCCTCACTTAGCACATCATGACCTCTCCATGGACTGGGCCAGTCAGACTTGATGATATTAAATACAGAGTAGTAATAACCCATTAGGCTGAAAGCGGCACTTAACGGAATGACTGGAAAATACATATATAGGAAAACTACCTTAAGGAGATGAATTTCCATCCCAGTATTTTTTCTTCTTCTTCTTCTTCACAAATGTGCTTTAGTAGTTTCTTGATCATTGGTTATCTAAAAATCCAAGCCCAAACACTTCAGGCTTTTAGATGTTCTCCAGGACAGGACTTAACTGTATAAAGAAACTTAATTACAAAACATGGACAACATACATTTCTGAAAACGCAGAATCAAGTTGGAAGCAGGTTATCCTACACCCACCCCATTGTCCTGTCCAAAGTTCCAGCCAATAGTGTGTAATTCTAGGACAAGCAGTGAATAAGAGCCCAGGCTTCCCATTGATCAGAAGGGTTGGATAGGAGCATGGCTCTTCCCCATGGGGCTTCAAGCATACTCTGCTCATGTGCAGGCAGAGTAGCTGGCAGAATTAGTAAGTCCTGCTGATCGACTATGCTGGGAGATAACTGCCATGTTGTAATTGCCACAGAGAGAAAGAAATGAGCAGAAATGCAGGCTGTGTGAGGGCTGTCAGGTCAGGGGGAAGGTGAGGGTCAGGGGCACACCTGGGTGCGCCCAGATGTACATCCATACACATCTGGGCACACCCAGGGCACCATTGATGGGTCTGCATTAGCATCACCTTTGACAAAGGAAGCTGCTCAGGAGGAGAAAGTGGCCCATTATGATCTCAGTTTCTTGGGCTGGATAAAGGCCTAGGCATTTCTGCAACCTTTTGCAAAATTCTGTGGGTGTCAGTGTGAGTTTTTTTGTTTCTTATAGAAATGTTAGGGTGGTGATTAATTGTTTGACCCTTTTCAAACAATGCAAAGGACTCTGCATTCTTGAGAGCCCTCTAAGAGAAACAGCAGAAATCTTTCCCTCCCAAAAAGGTCAGAAAGCTTGTTCTTTTCATAGCTTGAAAAGACCAACATTTACACCAATTATCTCCTATAGACTGCAGCCTTGGAACAAATTATATGGCTTAAACTGTTCATCAGGTTGGGAACATTTCTGATATCATCTAAAAATATTTTGTTGCCTTTCTATTAGTGGCTTGTGTTAACACTTTCTACAAAGTCCCATGTAATGTATAAAAAGGATTTCTTGTCCCTCTTAACTCGGATTATAAAAATCTTAAAAGAGGTGTGTTTCTGTGTCTTGTAATTTTCCAAACACGCTCAGGAATGTAAGGAAAAACAAAACAGGCTCACTAAAGAACATATAATATTATTTTCAAATAATAATAAAAAAGAAAATGTTTATAATAACAATAACCTATGTAGACTGATTTTTTTTTAACATATGGGTAATCTAATCAGTGCTAAAACAGAACTATGTGTAACTTATTTACATAAGCACTCATATACAAACCGTTTGCCACCATCTCACCCTGAATCCCACTCAGTATTTTTCCACCTTTTTTCCTCTAGAACTTGCAAACCAACCAGAAATTGAAAAAGTATCAGGTGCTACGATCAATGTTTCCTGGCCATTAAGCAATAGAGATGATGGTCCAGGGAGCATAAGGAGTTGAGACTCGCTAGTTTGATCACTGCAAGGGAGAACTTGCAAAGAAGTGGTTTCCTGATGTAGTCTTCCCAGCATGCAGCCAGGAAATGAGTAGAAGATCCTGGTGACTCACTTCATTCCTCCTGCCAATGCATGCTCTCTCTGTGTAAACAAAAGAGAAGGGAACTGATCTGGAAGAAAACAGTAGGAACCTGCCCCTCTGCTGATTTTTCATTTAGCGCTTCACCCACCTCCCCCCTGGGAATCGCCAAAGTTTCTCTTTTGCATTCCGGGGACCTCTCAAGAATCACATCTAAATATTAAAGTCAGATATATACATTTTTAAATTGATTTACAGATAAATCCTCTTACAGGGGTGGGAGTGGGGAAAGGACACTGGATTTGCTCACAAGATCTATTACGTACGAAAATTTGTAAAGTAATTGCAATAATATAAAAAGGCACTGACTGGTCTACTCTCTGTTTTAAACTGCAGGAGCCACAGCTGCAGCCCGGAAGGAGGTGATAAGGAACAAGATCCGAGCAATAGGCAAAATGGCCAGAGTGTTCTCGGTCCTCAGGTGGGATCGCTTTTCCTCTGTTTCTGTTTTGAAGTTGATTGTGTATCACTTAATATGCATTTTAATACTTTATTCTGGTAATGTAAGTATGTTGCTAAAAGGTATTTGCTTTACCATAATTTTTTTTTAATGGAATTGTCCATTTCTCACTGTTTTAGTCAAATTGAGATACACTACATTATTTCCGCAGGGACAGCCTCCAAATAGACTGTTTCACATTTTAAAGCCTGTATTTGTTGCTGGACTTTTAAAACATATATTTCACAATAGGTTGAACATGTAGTAAAAGAAGAAAGCTATTATAGCCTTTTTTATTTTTCATTCTGGCTCTGTGGTAAAAGATGATTTTATTACGTGCATTTTACTAGACTTCTAGGAAATGAACACCAACCATAAAGCTTGTTCATGCGAGTCTATATTATTCTAATAAATCACTGAGAGAAAGAAATAGTTATTTAATGTTTCAATTCCCATGTCATAGTTATTTTTTAAATAGACCATGAATCATGTTATGAGTAAGTCTTGGTTTAGAAAACAAGCATAGTCTTAAAGAGAATTAGCTACATTTTTTCTTTACTTAAATTCAGTTACCTATTCTTAGTTCATAAAAAATAACTCTATTTCTCTTCCAAAAATTCATTTAAGATATGGCATGTTTATATGTAAGGAGCATATAGTCAATTCACAATCACACATTAAAAAGGGTAAATAGGAAAATCTTGGAAAGTGGGCCATGTACATATTGTATAATTTCATAACCTAATTTTGCCTAATTTTTGCCTCAACTCTTTCACACACAGTAGTTACAATAGAGTCACTAAAGAGAGACTGGGTAACTTGATGCCACAAGGCAGGGAACTGTGAGGAAAAGTATTAACGTGTTTTTTCAAAGACAGCAAGTCAAAGTCAGCACTAGCTTCATGGTAAGCAGCCAGATCCTGATAAGTCATGTTAAAGCTGAAGATAGAAGAGCAGCGTTGCCTCCAGCCTATGTGCTCTAATACTTTACTGCTTGCTGAAGTTTTAGGATTCTTTTATTCACTCATTCCGTAATAAATACAATAAAACTTAAGGCATCGATTCGGATATCATGAAGAAAAACAAGAAAGCAATATAAAGGGAGAGCAAGTTGGGGGATGAGGCACTTATTTTCGCATGTCGCAACAAAGACCTTTCTGAGTAACGGCATTGGAGCGAGTGTGGGATAACCTTCATAGAGACAGGAAGTGAGAGGGTTCAGGGCCTAGGAATAGCAAGTGCAAGGATTCTTAGAGAGAAGCAAAGGTTGGCAGTTTTGAGGACCAGCAAGGAGGCCTCTGTGGCTAGATGTCCTGTGGTGGCAAAAGACTATAAAAAGATCATAAGCTCAGCTGATACCTATGCATAAACACTTATTTGTCATCTCAGATTTACCAAGACATGCTTGCTTGCTTTTCCTATCTGAAATCTACGAGGAGAAGAAAAAAGTAGCTCCAGAATTTCCACCTGAGAGTACATTTAGGGAAAAAGGAGAAGCCTTTCTTAATATAAAAACATGTGTGACAATGTTAGTCTTTAAACCACTTGAAGGTATGAGGAGCAATGCTGTAAATCATAAGTAGGTCTTAAAATTGGGGAATCCCTCCTATCCCCTGCCTAAGATGTAATCATTATTGGTGCATAAGATGCAATCATTTCCAGCTGTGAAATGGTCCATTTGAGCCCAATGATGATCAGTGACTTGACTAAGATTACCCATGTTTTTTAAAATATATTTTATTGATTTTTTTTTACAGAGAGGAAGGGAGAGGGATAAATAGTTAGAAACATTGATGAGAGAGAACATTGATCAGCTTCTACTGGGGATGTGCCCGCAACCAAGGTACATGCCCTTGACCAGAATTGAACCTGGGACCTTTCAGTCTGCAGGCTGATGCTCTATCCACTGAGCCAAACCGGTTACACCTACCCATATTGATAGAAAATTAAAACAAGATGTATTTTATGGCTTTTCGTAATTAAACATCTCAGTAAACTTGTGGACTATAGGGGATCATATCCAGAGAAAATTTAAGTTTAGAAAGTAAAGATTGAACATGAAATGTGTACTATATACTGAGTTAAGCAAAATGGATACCAAGTTGGAATGCCAGACGTGTAGAAAATCAACAATGGGAGGCAATAAAATGCTCACTGCACACAAGAAGAGATGCTCTGCTGTGGAAAGGGACGGCAAGGAGTAGTTCCTGAAAGGAATGTTCGTGAAGAGGGTGACATTGGAGGAGGATAGGCTGAGTTCACTGGGTAGAGAGCTGTGGTGCAGGCATTCCTGGAAGCTGAGAAACTGTCAAAATCACAGCCACCGAGTCCCAAGAGCAGCCTTTTCTGAGGTCCTAGTTCAATGCCAGGTGCCATGCCCCAGGGGGTACGCACCTGACAGGAGTCTACACAGCGAACTTGCAGGTTGGGTTGACCTCAGCGGGGAAACGGAAACTGAGATAAGCAGTGTGTCCAGACTCACATAGGGAGCAGCACTAATGACTCTGATGTGAAAGTGAACTACGTAGTCGGTGAATTCTAAGTACTGAAAGGACCTGGGTAGTAAGACTGCAGGTGAGTAAGGAATCTAGTAAAAAAAAAAAAAAAAAACGGGCTGAAAATGGACTTACGTCCAGATCCTTAATGGTCTAAATATCATGTAAAAGCATGAATGTTGTATGTGCAGGAAATAAGTTATGGGATGGTTTTCATGGGATGAGGGACATGCTCTAACTCACGTGTGGATGGTGTAGGTTAACGACAATGTGAAGGCTAGTTAGCAAGATGACCTATTAGTGTTAGGACATTTAAGAAACTATGGAAATAATCCAAACCAGAGTACAGGAGGACAGATACAAAGGAATTTGTGAAGCTAGCAGATTACAAATTTAACGGATGAATGTGGAGATGGTGGTACACCTGTCCCTCACAGTCCTTATATTTTGCTAGTTTGCATCATTTTGGGGGGACCAGAAGCCTGTCTTTCGGCAGCCCCGGCAAGTAAGGTGCAGGTGTGTTGCCCAGGATCCACCAATCACATGGACACATAAGATTTCCCTTTTGAAATGAGCATCCTGAGGAAGCAGGGGCCCGGGGGGAGGTGATTCCTCTGTCGAATGTGAGATCTGAGGGGCCGGCAGGGGAGGAGCTTCTTACGCAGTATCTGGGGGGCCAACCCCATGGCATTAGCACAAGCTTGATGTTGACTCTAACCAGCAGTGGCAGCATTTCTCAGAGTGGGTCCCGCAGGGTGGATGAGCCCTGGTACTTTTCCCCACTACCGAGCATTCCAGTCTAGCTCTCTGGGTCCGTGAGCTCCCTCATACCTTTTAATCCATCTCTGCACTGTTAATATTCACCAGAGTGGGTTCTGGTGTTTGCTGCAAGCACCCTGACCTGTGCAAGGGTGACGGGGGAAAGGACATATCCCAAGACTGTTCCTCAGAGGTACTAGCCCATGTGATTGACAGCCTGAGGATGCCGTTGTCTAAGGAGGAGGAAGCATGAATCCGTTTAAATCTCCTGGGGAGAGCTGCGATCAGCTGCGCGGGGCAGAAGGTGGTTAGGAGATGTGCCCCAGAGCTTCAGAGAGCGGTGAGAAATGCAGGCATGGGAGTGCACACAGAGCGGAAGCACAGAGGCGAGGAGTTTGCCAAGGGCTGGAGGGAGGGAGGCAGGGCGGAAAGACAAGCATCCCCTGGAAGGGTGCCTTCCGAGGGAAATGTAATGAGCCACATCTGTGATGTTACGTTTTCCAGAAGCCGCAGTTAAAATGCAAGTGGGAAGAAACAGGTGAAATTCATTGCAATAATACATTCTATATCCTTTCTATGTAATAGATTCAGAATGTTATGGCTTCAACATGTAGTCCACATACATCTTGTTAAAGAGAGATTTTGCATTCTTATTTTTGTATCACGTCTTTGAAATCTGATGCGAACGCTCCAGCTGCAGCACATCCCAGGTGATGTTTGGGCACGGGTGAGGAGGGAGCAGTAAGAGCCCCCGCGGCTGGGGTGCTGCCACATTAGAAAGCACAGGTCTGGACAGAGAGCAAGACGTCAGCCACAGGGCTGGGGAGGTGACCCGGGAGGAAGAGAGGAACCCAGAAAGAAAATGAAGCAAACTGAGCACAGAACCTTCTAGAAGGGGAGCCTGGTTATGTTCCTTCCAGGGAGATCTCTGCAGCGATGGCTGCAACTGAGATACTTCCAAAAAACGTTTTCTGTGTAGGGCAGTAGTGGTTGTGTCAGAAGGGTACAGGCAGATGAGGACTATGGGGATGGGGTGAAATAGGTGAAGGGGAAGAAGAGGAAGAAGCTTCCAGTTATAGAATAAGTCATGGGATATAATGTACAGTGCAGAGAACATAGCCAACAACACTAAGTGTTGGAACAACTTCGCATGGTTACGGATAGTCACCAGACTGACAGTAGTGGTCTTTCGTAAGATATTATAAGTACACATCGATTTTTTACTCTGTACATGTGAAACTATTGTAATACAGTAAGTCAGCTATACTTCAATTTAAAAATAAGAAGACTATAAGGAGAGGAGAAAAACAGTTGAACGAGAAAGGGAAAGGAGGTAAGGAAACCAGATTTAAAAAATGAACACACAGGAAAGAATATGTTCATTTACTTAGAGATACTCTCAATATTTCCAAAGCCACCTATTAGCATTCAGAACATTTCTCTCTTTTATGGAACCTCTAGTGGTTTGCCAGCAGAAGCCTGAAAGGGTTGAAGCACTGCCTGAAAGTAAACAAGGATTAATTGACCATCTCAGACCTAATATTTTAAGTAAACTCTGCAGTGAAGGAGACAGAAATATAAAATGCTGCCATACTCCCTTCTGTTTCCCTTTGACTCATCCCTTTAGGAACTGTGTTTGGAGTGCCGGCTGTGTACCAGGTGCTGCTCTGTTCTGGGCACTGCCGACGCTGCTGTGAGCAAAACGGACAGAAACCCCTCCTCACAGGAGGCCCCCCTAGCCAGGGTGGGAGGGCGTGGGCAGGGGAGCCAAACAACCACCAAAACCCACAAGGAAACAAATGAGCTGAACGGTTTCAGGTAAAAATAAAGTAGGCAAGGAGGAGAGGGAGTGGAAAGAGCCTGTTATTTTTTAAAGTGTTCTCAAGGAAGTCCTCGCTTAGAGGTCGATGCGTGAGCAGCATCGAAGGCAGAGAGGCAGGGAGCCACACAGTTGTCAGGGGGAGAGTGTGGCCAGGCAGGTGCAGAGCCCTCAGGTGGGAGGCGCTGGGTGCCTCCGGAAGACACTAGGGGATGTGGATGCTAATAAGAAATAGGATGTAATTGGTGGATGAGGATGGGAGAATGTGGGTTGGGGGCAAGTTTTTGAGTGCTCTTGTCCAACATTTTAGAGACGGCACCTGCATAGGTATTCCAAGGTTCTGCCTGTACACTGAGAATAGTTATGGGGGGTGAGGAGATGGGCACCAGAGCATGACCAGCATGGAGCAAGGGTACTTCATAAGAGGCTGCTAGAACAATCCAGGTAAGAGTTGTTGATGGCAAGCTAAAGAAGTCTGTTACAAAAGGGCACGTGTTATATTTGTGTGAAATTCAGAAGCAAACCTATAGAGAGTTGCCTAGTGGTTATACAGGGCTGAAAGAGAGGACACGTGGCCTCTACTGGACAAAGGTTTCTTTTTGGAGGGCTGACAGTGTTGTAAAGTTGGCTACGGTGATGGTTTCACAGCTATAAATGTATTAAAACCGTTGATTGAATTGTATGTTTTAAATGAGCCAATTGTATGGTACGTTAATTATATCTCAGTGAGAGGAGGAGTAGTGTGAGAAATGGCTAGGTACTTACTGGAAATATTTTGTGAATAGAGCCTTTAGATTTACTAATCGAGTGGACGTAGCATGAAATAGGAAAAGGACATTAAAGGGTAAGACTTAAAGGTTAATTAAAGGATGGAAGATTATTGAAGAGGCAGGTTTGGGGGGGGAGTTTAGGAATCCTGTGTGGGTCATCTTCAGCATTATAAAAATGTGAAGTGGGTAGCTGCAGATATTATAAACACCTATAATAATAAAAGGGCAACATGCTAATTAGATCAGACAGCTGGACGACCTTTCGGACGTCATTCCTGATGTCCTTCTGGATGAAGCTATGGCAGCAGGGGCTGAGGCAGAGGCAGTTAGGGGTGGTCAGGCAGGCAAGCGAAGAGTTAGAAACGATCAGGACGGCAGGCAAGCAAGCAGTTAGGGATGATCATGCAGGCAGAGGGGGTAGGAGCGATCAGGCAGGCAGGCAGTCAGGTGAGCATTTAGGAGCCAGCGGTCCTGGATTGCAAGGAGTGCAGCCTGAGTTGAGGGCTCCTCCCGTGCGGAATTTCGTGCACCAGGCCTCTAAGATATATAAGAAATATACGCTTTTTGGGTTATATAGGGTACAGTGCCTGCTACATGGAAAAATAGGTTATTCCTATTTCATGGTCATGTAATCACTATGATTAATTCAATTATAATGAAATAATGATGTACATAAACTATTTGGAAAACATTTGTCATAATGAGTAATAAAGAAATTTTATATTAGCAAAGTAGTGGGGAAAGAGGCTGCTGAAAAGGAAAGCTGAGAAATTTTACCGGTTGCCATATTGGCTAGTTGTCATTATTTTGCATGTTTATCATGTAATGTCAAAATTCCTCAGCCCGCTGTACGTAACGCCTAGCTTTCTGATACATACGTGTATTTTATTTTTTATCTTCCATATGCAGGGGTAGATATATCTCCCATAAACTCTTATATTTTCCCTGGTTTTCTCTCCCAAATCAAATGAGCTTCCCTCATTTTTCCTGATCCTGGGCTGAAAAACACCCATCCACACTTCCCTGGGCTCATGTTCAGTATCTGCATCCCACCAGGGAAGCCCAGCAGCCGCCGTGTGTTGTGATGCCCGCTTAATAATCAGAATTGTTTTCTGTATCTTCAATACTCAGAAGGGACTGAACCATCCCAGTTGTATAATCATCATTTACATAACATTACTTCAATACGAATGCATAAAAATCTAGTATGTTTTAAATTTAAAAAGAAATCTACAGAGCCAAGATAGATGTAAATGTGAGTTATTATATGCATTTTTTTCGTCAGTCTTTTCTCTCTCTCCAAAGAAAATTTATATGTGTAGCCCATGGACATGGGCAATAGGGTAGTGAAGACCTGTGCCAGGCGGGAGGGGGAGTTTAAAGACTGGGAGGAGAGGGAAAAGGAGAGGGGGAAGAGGGATGGGAGACATCTGTAATACTATCAACAATAAAAAGTACATTTAAAAAAAAACACAGAAAATGAGAGTTAATGCCCCCCCTCACCTTGTGCCTTTCCAGAGAGGAGAGCGAGAGTGTGCTGACGCTGAAAGGCCTGACGCCCACAGGCATGCTCCCCAGCGGCGTGCTCTCTGGAGGGAAGCAAACTCTGCAAAGCGGTAAGCAGCCCCTTCACTGTGGCCGGTCCCTGCCAGGCGCGTTAGTCAGCCGTGTCGTTAGAGCCCTGAGTTATTCACTCATTTAAGCTCTGTCTTATTCTCGGCTCAAAGAGGGTCTGAACCCATACATCCACGTGACCAGTCATGTCCCACAAGATACCTCCCTCTTCCGTGGGAATGGAGTCTGGACCCACCCTGCATTCCTGAAGCGCTCACATGGGAACCACGTGCAGGCCTTGCTATAGGACCCCTCATTGGGGTTTCCTACATGCACAATAGGTTTACCCACTCTCCATCAGTTGCTAAAAACAAAGTTTTAATTACATTTTTACTAAATGTTCTGGTTGTCTATTTGATGGATGAAAAACACACACACACGCACACGTACAAATATACGTACCAAAGTTTAGATTTCAGTGGAAAATGTAGGAATAATATAAAAAGTATAATTTCACTATCCATTTCAGTAGACATTGGGAGTTCTATATGTCTTTTACTTACCTCCAAAACAGACTGAGTATAACCATGTTTTATTTCTGAAAAAGAACGAAACCATTTCCTTTAAAAGACCCAGAGAGTTTGTATTAAAATGTGTAGCTTTCTGGATGAGCGCTTTCCAATAACACTTCCTGTGATGACGGAAATGTCTGTATCTGCACAGAAGTCACTGGCAACATGTGGCTGTTACAAGCTTAAATACAGCCAATACACTGAGAAAGTGCTTTATTTTATCTAACTTTTATTAATTTGATTTACATAGTCATGTGGCTAGTAGCTGCCCTACCAGAAACACTCTTTTACTTTTGTTTTATTATCTATTCATTAATGGAAATGTTGCAGTTAAAATTAATCTTTAACATGAAAAAAGGAAAACGAAAATACCCTATAACATTTTCAAGACAATCTCAGCCTCTTGCTTATTTTCCTATATCTTTCCCTGAATCTTTTTGTGTGTGCGTTTGTGTTTTATTTTTCTATCCCTATCCCTCAAACTAGAAGATTCAGGTCTTCTATGGTTACATTATTTAGACCCACCTCTCTGCATGGAGAGGAGTGTTCAACTTCAGGAATAAGGGACTATTAAATAATCACCCCCTAGCAGCAACACTCTCCTTTTCTTTATTTTCATAGTGATCTATTCCAAAATCAATATCGTTGAGTTTTCACAAAAGAGGACATTTCTAAATGATAGCAGGAAAATATATAGTATTAAGGAAATTCCCCCTTTACACCTAAAATTTTTTATCAACTTGTTTATTAAAACATAGCTTGTTTCCCATCACAGTAAACATGCTTTCTACACCATTCACATCAATGGATCACTTAAAAACTCAACATGGACAACTACTTCATTGAAATCTGCATAGTTTTTGATAAGCACATTTTAAGGTACTGCAAGTGTATTATCAGAAACTATGGTCACATTTGCTCTAAAAGGATACACTTAACAACAGTACATAGTTCTTATATGTTGGTGCTGGTATGGTTTCACATATGTTGCTTTACTTTTAAACTTAAGTTATTTTAAGTTCTTACAATTGTTCCTCTGATTTCCAGATTTTCACCGATATTTAACTTAGATTATTCAGTTACCTTTTCTGTTCACGTTATTTTAAAACCGTTGTTTGTATTATTCTGTGTTGAACTCACATACACACAGGGGACATAAGCATTGGAGTCTCAATAGTCCTGAGAATCTGAAAATTCAGTATATATTTTAAACCATATACATTAATACAATTTCAGAATCCATTTTCTGATGACCTTCAATTGTCTAAAAGGAGAAATTATGTAAAGCTTCACTGTTTCTTCTTCGAGGTGGAATTTAGAATGCACTGTAAGTAGATTGTAGTGCACATTTGGCAGTTGCCCTAGATTTAAAACCTTAAATTATAAGGAATGTGCACATTAAAGTCAAGGGGTAGAATTTTAATATAAATTTTTGGAAGTAAACGTGGAGAAATTTTGCATTTTAGCACTTAATTAAGGAAATATCAACTATCCTTAGTAACTGAAAGATGCATACACCTGTACAGTGGGAATATAGACACTCACATTATTATAATACTGGTAAAGCAATGGGCCTTCCAAATTTTGCTCCTGAAATATGCTGATTTGCAATATTTAGGCTGCCTTTGCTTTACCGTGCTGATGGAATTATAGCTGCTATTGGCATGTTACCACTTGATGGTAACTTTTCAAGAATTTCATTCCCAGAAATGATAGCACGATAAGAAAAAAAAAAAAAAAACGATTTTAAATTGGATTGCCTGGTAAAACAAGTCCAAAGTATACCATGACCTTCCTTTTATCCCTTGCCATTCTAATCATGCTGGGTGTTGGTCTTTATAGAAACATATTCATTTTCAGTACAAGACACATTGATTTTATTTTCCCTCTAAATCGATCCCCCTTTTCCATTGCAGTAGGGAAATGTGCTACTTAATTTTAAATAGCACAAATTACCCCATTGACATTATGGCAGCTGCTTCAAATTCTGCCTTATTTTTTTTCTCCTAATATTTTAAAACTGTAATTCACCAAGCACAGCAGTGATTTTATTGAAATTGGTGCCAGTCACAGGCTCATTTTAGATTGACCCTTATCAATTCAATCTGAGTAAAAGAAAACGTCCCTGCGTGTTTTCCTAAAGGGTCACTTGGTCATGTATTTAGTGAGCACAAACCAAAGCAGTTCACTCAGACGTGTGTATCCATCTTATAAATTAAACTTATTTTGTTGTGTTTTTTTTTTCTTTCTTTTTAGCATTTCTGTTTTGTTGTCTGTGCCAGAATCCAGCACTTAACAGGAACATGAATTCTCTTAGTTCCCTTGATCGTCACTGATTTGTTCTTAGAGTTAAAAATCCTCTGCTCATTTTTCTCATTCATTTTGCACCCCCTTTCTTCTCTTCAGCTACTGTTGAGGCTATTGAGGCTGATGAAGGTAAATTGGCCAGTCCCCTTTCTGTTGTACCTGCAACAGATAAGGGCTCTGCTGGGTGTATTCATTTTTTATTTTTATTTTTTTATTTTTGCTGTAGCTTGTACAGAGTGTGTGGGTGTTGGGCTAACAGTTGTGGCTCAGTATTAACCAAAATGTTCTTGCTTTAAAGGGGAAAGTGTCCTTTTTATGGTTTGTTTGTTTGTTTTATTTTTCCCTTAAAGCTATGTTTGACTTTGTATACAATGAATCTAGGATAATCACAGAAAACAAAAGGATCATATATCTTGAACGATGTGGGGTGGGGGTTATGGCAGCTGTTTTGACAAATAACGCGCAAAACAATACTCGTTGAGCTGAACCATGTCCCTCCCTCAAATCACTTTCAGTCAGCACTGAAAAGGAGAGAATAAAAATAGCTTTATGAATTCTAGTCTTCAGAAATTTCTAGCAAGGAAAAAAAAAAAAGTTCATTTGAATAGTGCTTTGTTGTAGTCCTACATTAATTTATGTCTCTAAACAATAATCCAACAAGAGACAGCTGTGTATGAGATAAACAGTTCTGATATCTAACCAAATTTTAACCTATCGGAATTGGCAGTACAGTTAGCACCAGCAAGTGTCTGTGGAAGTGGCAAAGTAACTAGCATAGCGGCTGTCACTCAATTGATTAACATTTATTGATTGTCTGCTTTGCACCAGGCCCTCTGCTAGGTGCTGCAGGGGAAATCAAGTCATGTCTATCACCAACCATGTCCTGGCACTGCTCAGGGGCAGTAGACTTGATCCTTTAGCAATTAGTTTTGAAGTGAGTGCTTTGTGAGTATATAGTCATGAGAGAACTGCATATCAACATAGTCTTTAATAGGATACCTACCTACCCTTTGGAAATTGTAAAAAAAGAATAATTTGAAGTTCCCCTTTAAAACAAAATTCTTCAGTTGTATTTTGCTCTTGCAAAGATAACTCTTCGTTTTTCCCCCAAATGGTGTGTGCATCTGGCCCTTGGATGGGATGTTTCAAAAGTGCCACTTTACACTCTTTAATCTGTACCTGATTTGGATGTAGCAGGGGAAATGATAGCAACGTAAGAGAAAATACAACTGCTTCCTAAATAGCAGTGCATAAGCTGCTATTTATGTGGGAATTCTCTATTCCTCTCGGCACATTCCAATCTGCAGTGTGCATTCTTGTGGATATAGTTTGGCTGTTTTCTGTGGTTTCTGTGACTCTGTGTTGTGTTAAGTACACTACCACTGTAAACTGCTAATACCCATGGTCTGACCAGCAACTACAGCAGAGCACATTCTTCCGTACCAGGCTAGACAGGGGTGATTAGCAACCGAGCCCCATTCTGACCATATTGCATGGTCCTAATGAGAGTTTGAATTTCTATGCTCCCATCTTATGGGCTTTTAAACCCAGAGATTCCACTTGTATCGCTGAAATTAATAAAATTAATCACGATGATGAACTTTTGATATTTACTAATTCTGATGAAATGGTATTCCTAGTGGTTTAGAAAAAGAACAGAGTACCACTTTGTGCCATTGTTTCGTCTCTCAAAATAATTGAGTTAGTTTTCAGGGTGGGTGCTCACTAGACAGCTCTATTATTCTGCAATTTATTACCGAATTAGAGAAGAATTAAGAAGCTTTGCTTTGGGCCTTGGTCTTTCCCCATTTCCCCATCTTCTTCCTCTCATAGTTGACTAATCACCATGATGCTAACCTTTAAAATGCAGAGGGGGGGAGCAAGCTATTTCTCATCGCTTAATGAGTTTAGAAGCAACTGGGTGTATCTTTTAAGAATCTCATCCATACTAATCAAAGGCACTGCACATTTGTGTAGGAGTGGCTGGCAGCGTTTCAGCTTGAAACCACTTTCTTTTTTTTCTTTTTTTTCCCCCCAAATAAGGTGGGAAGGATAAAGGTGCCATGAAATTGCCCTTAATCAGCCATGGAGACGCAGCTTAATTTGGCATTGGAGTTTGGCCCTTCGGTACCTGGCTTGCACTTCACAGGGAGTAAAGCAAACTGATGTCACTGGTTCCCCATTTATGTACTTGACTTTCAGCTAACTTGGTGCACCCACTGAAGAAATCCTTTAGTTTCTAGAACAGATATGCCTTACTTTAGTCTCCGGAGCACACTAAAGTTTGCTTAAAAAAAAAAAAAAAATCGGATATCAATGCCCCCTTTGAAAACTCATGTTGTCATTGAATGGGGCCAAAATTAGTCCTATTCTTTTTTTTTTTCCCCCTAAAACGTGAAAGGCACTTTCTCCATGTGATTCTTGAACTATTGTTCCTGTCTACATTGATCTACTAAGAAAGAGTCTTCTGTGACTTAGGCAGGAATGGGTACCAGATGAACATCAGTTTGACCTGTTCGCTGCTGAAGGGTAGAGAGCATTTCCTACTTAGTGATGCGAGCTTGGTTTTTCCGAGTCCCTCTCACCTCTGCTCCCATTCCACATGCTCCCAGCGCTGAGGGAGACACGGGAGCTTTTCATTTTATTGCTTCCATGCCATTATTGAGTTGATTGTCAAGGAAGCCTTTCTGGGATTCTGAGATGGCATGGAAATGCCCCAAGTTAATGCCTTTTATCTTTTAGCTTCTGCACTAAGCTCTTTACCAGAATGTTAGATGTACCTACCTCTGTGATGCTATTGAACTTGCTGTTCCTAGCAGAATGGAATGGTAACAGCAGGGCAGTGTTCCAGTCAAAGTCAGGGCGTTTGGTGCCATAACCCCATTAATGTGGCCCGTTGATACGCGCTGGCTCTAGAAACCTGGCCCTGGCAGAGCACTTTCCTCTTTCCATGTCCACTTCGGGTTTTGTTTATGTAAACTCTCGTGAAGAAAAGAGACGTGCTTCCATCTCACTAACTTGAAGAGGACGCTTTGGTTGGCAAGAGACATTGGCTGTTTCCCAACCCTTGGTTACCGGCGGGGATGGTAAGGAGCCCGTTGTGTTGTGCTCGGATCCCATCACTGTTCTCTACTAAAGGATCCCCATCTCTCCCTGCGAAATCTCTAACATCACCCGATGCAAGAATGGGGTCCCTGGTCGTCCTCTGGCTAACCCAGTTTCTCTTTTTTTCTTAATGATTTTCTGTTTAGCTATCAAAGGATTTTCACCACAACATAAGATCACTAGCTTCGAGGAGGCCAAAGGCTTAGACCGAATTAACGAGAGGATGCCACCTCGCAGAGATGCCATGCCCTCCGACGCCAACCTTAACTCCATCAACAAGGCCCTCGCCTCAGAGACTAACGGCACGGACAGCAATGGCAGTAATAGCAGCAATATACAGTGACCACTTCCTGTTCACTCTTTCCTTTCCTTTTTCCTTTCTCTTTTCTTTCTTCTTTCTTTTTCGAGCTGCAGGGCATGGTGGGATTGCTGCATATTGGCAGTTGTATGTTCTTGCCTCTGAAGAGAGCTTATTTGCTGTGGGGGCCAGGAATTGGATCCAGTTTACACTATCCTTAGAAAAGAGGGAGAGATAGATAATAAACTATATTTTGGTGAGGGTGGTGATCAAACACCTCTTTTGGTATACCTTTTAAAAATGCTTATAAGGAAAAGCAAATTTAAAAAAAAAAAAAAAGAAAGCTAATTAATGCTAGTATATACTGCAATGTTAGGGAATGGACTTGTTTTCCTCCCGCATTGGGGACTCCAAGATAGGGTAATGCAAGGTCTTTCATTATGTTACTGGACACGAAAACTTTGTCTAATTTCTTACTCTATTGTACGTTTACAGTTGCAGCACTAAAAATGGATGACATCAAACATTTTTAACAAAATGATGTACAAACTAAGGACTATTTATTGATAATGTTTTGCTACTCTTGTCAGACAATGGCTATAAAATGAATTAGGCAGTCTTAAAAATAAAAAAATAAAAACACAGAAAAAGAAAAAAAAAAATGAATGTCGCAAATTTGTTAAAATGCCAAAAAGGACAGTTTAATTTTGTACAGATTATGCTTACCTCAGGTTTCTTTAGTGTGCTTGAATGCCCTTCTTTCAATATAACACCTTATTAATTTCACAATGAATATCTTTTCATTTCTTTTCTTTAAGTTTTAAAGAACTGGAATAATTACATCTATCTTTTTTTTTTTTTTTGCTGTTTATATTTAGGGGTTTTGTTGATAAATCAAGTCTTGGTTGTGGCTTGCTGAATTAAATATTTATGAGTGGTGCATTTTTAAGTATAGTGAACAAGATACCATATTAAGTACAGTGATAAAGCATCTATATTCTGTAAAAATAAATCTGCCTATGCATGTTTTTTAAGAAAAAAAATGGCTGTATCGGCCTGTATGGGACTGTAATGCGCTTAGTGGTCTGACATATACTGGAAATGTATGTATACTGGCGTACTTTATATTCTCTAAAATGCTTAATGCCTTTGAAATTTTGTAATCAAAAAAGCTTTGAAAAATCTAAAGGGGGAGAGTATTCTTAAAAGTTTTTAACATAAGCTTGTCAGTGCACATATAGATGGTTAGCATGTTTAGCAACCTTGTGAAATTTAAATAAGTTTGTAGTTACATGTGAAACTCTAAATGCATGGTAACTGTTAATGTCATAACGATTTAGTTATTTTGTTCTGTTCTGTCATGTGCCACAAACTTTTTTCACTTTTTTCCCTTTGTATATCAGTTACGGGTTACAACTGGTTCATTCTGAAAACAACAACAACAACAAAAGTCCATTCATATTTTTTAACAATTGTATAAGTGCCCAAGTAATTCACTACAGCCTAAAGCCTTGCCTTTGTAATTTGACTTCTGAAATGTTGGCAATCAAAGCATGCACTTGTAACAATGAAAAAGAAAAAGCATTTTATATTACTACTCAATAAAATGTGCATGAACTTAAAGAACTCTCATCCTTGCCCTGAGTCTGCTGAAGGGATTTGTGTGCACAACCACCACGCTGTCCTCTAGGTGCTGGGCCCACCACCCTGCAGCTCTGCCAGGCTTCTCTGGGGGCCTCGTGATCAAAGGCGTGGTGCCGACTTCCGCTGTGAGAACCTTGGTGGATTTCTGTCTCAAATCAGACGAGAGAACTGTATTTAAAGAGTAAATGCCCTCTTCTGGCTCTCTTGAGTGCAGGAGCCAATTAAGAAACCAGATCATTCCTTTTTATTTGACAAACAAAAACAATTTGTTATCAGGTTGTTTCAGTTGTATTGGACGCCCTATCTGCTAAAGCGAAAAGAACTAAGCTAAGAAGTGCATTTTCTCACAGAAGAGAGTTGTATTTGTATTGGTAGAAAATTTATATACCAGCGCTTCAGCTAATATCTAATCACCGGGAGATTTAAGATACACCAAATTTCAGTTTGTTTCTAACATTGTTCATTTTCAGTGCACTTTGTTTTATGTAATAAAGTATGCCTATTATATTAAATAATAAGACTTTGGCAATTAGTGATATAGTGTACCAAAACAAAAATGTTCTAGATATATTATCTGATAAAGACTATCTCAAATTTATTTTAATGAATCCAAACTTTTCCCTCCTTGTGGATATTTTTCTGTCCTAAAAAAAAAAAAAATGACATCCAAGGAAAATATTTAGATGCAATTTATTAGAACGATGTGAAAGGAATGGTAATTCTGGTACCACATTGTTTGTTTTCTTATATCTGCAGAGAAAATATCCTGACAAAAAAAAAAATCTTTTTTTTTTTTGATTCCTTTCTTTTACAAATTGTGCTGAAGCAACTATGGCATAGAAATAAACATTTGACATTAAAATAATCAGTTGATGTGAGTATTGCTTGATCTTTCTGGTCAGTAGTTAAGAAAGTAATTCTATATTTTTTTCAATAATTCCTTTAAAGAAATCAATATAGAAATGAAATAATTTTTCCAAAAGGGATAACACTGCCATGTCATTGGTTATTAGATCTATCTCCTTCACTTTGGGAGAAATTGTTGAATTCTTGAGTTGTTTATGCCAGTGAATCTTTTACTAAACTCACACACCCACATACACATACACACACTCAAGAAATAACTGCCGTGCCTCCCTCTTATACCCTCCCCCAAGGTGACTCACCTCTCAAGGGACTCAGTCACAGTGCTGACATTTTTCCTAGCTTTTCAAAGAGTAAGAGCTAGATTTCACTGACCCTAGGTTAGCAATTTTTCTTTTTTAAAATACTAGGAGCCTGGTGCACAAAATCTGTACACTTGAGGGGGTTCCCTCAGCCCAGCCTATGCCTTCTCACAGTCCGGGAGCCCTTGGGGGATGTCTAACTGCTGCAGAGGCAGGAGAGGCTCCCACCACCACTGCTGCGCTGGCCAGAGAGAGCCTGGCTTCTGGCTGAGCAGTAGCTCCTGCATTGATTGTCTGCCCCCTGGTGGTCAGTGCATGTCATAGTGATTGGTCATTCTGCTGTTCAGTTGATTTGCATATTAGCCTTTTATTAAATAGGATTCTCTGCTTATGTCATTTAAAAATGTACATATATATATATATATATATTTCAGAGAGGAAAGGAGAAAGAGAGAAACATTCATGATGAAAGTGATGAAAGAGAACCATTGATCGGCTATATCCTGCATATTCCCTACTGGGGATCCAGCCAGCAACTCACAACCAGAGCAATTTCCCTGACCAGGAATTGAAACATGACCAACCACTGAGTCACACCAGCCAGGCTTAAAATGTTTTTTGAGTGACAATGACAAGGGGAGCAGAGTGGAGGGGGAAAGAGCATCTCTGGATGGACAGCTGGACCAGCACGCCCTGGGGCAGCGTGTCAAAGTGGGAGCACCTTGAGGTGTCAGCCCAGAAAGGGTTATGGTAAAGTAGAGGCTGCAGCATGAATGACCTGGTCCTGAAGCATGTCTTTCCCTCCCACCCCTCCACATCCATGGGAAATAATACATTTTAGCACACATCCATTTCACTGCCCTCAAACCGAGACCCCCATAAGGAGGGCCAATGGGAATGGCCTTACTTAAATGCCTCACACGTTTCCTTGACTACCTAATGTCTCCCACTCACTGCATCCCCCTGCCAAACTCACTTAAGAAGCAGGGACCTGTCTGCCTGTCCAGCCTGGGGGCCTACATTTTCTAAGACTGGAAGCTCCTTGAATTAATAGACACATCTGAGGTCCTCAAACTAAAGATATCTCCTTTCCCCCTTGGCGTATGGCTTTCCACTTTATTCGCTCCACAAACATGGATCCTCCATGTTCCCTCTCACTGTCCAAGGTTCTTGTTTTTCCATGGGGAGGGGTTTGGGGTGGCGATGAGGAGAGGGAAGACTGGCAATCTTGACAGCATATCAGTTTTCATTATGAGGTAAAATGTCAGCATTCCATCATTATGATGTAAAACGTCAGTGCTCCATCAAACCGTGAGTCAGTGTCTGGCTTAACATGGAGCTGCCTTTTAAGCCCATTTTTACTGTTTCACAGGTGTTTCTGTCGTCTATATTTTAAGGCAATGCTCACCAGAAAAAGCCTTTGATGAGGCCTTTTCTTTTTATTTTTTAATACATTCTATTGATTCTTCACAGAGAGGAAGAGAGAAGGACAGAGAGCCAGAAACATCAATGAGAGAGAAACATCATCAGCTGCCTCCTGCACACTCCCCACCGGGGATGTGCTCGCAACCAAGGTACATGCCCCCGACCGGAATGGAACCTGGGACCCTTCAGTCCTCAGGCCAGCACTCCATCCACTGAGCCAAACCGGTTTCGGCTGATGAGGCCCTTTCATGATAAATTCATTTATTAAGAAATGTCTTCGTTGTAATGGGAGGCAAGAAATAACCAAAGAAATGTACCTCTTTCTGGCGATCACCTTTTCAAGAGGCAGCACAGGCGCATTGGAGTGCCCGTCAGGGAATGGAAACACAGCAGAGGGGAGGGCCTGCCCCTAAGGAAAGACTGCAGAAACGGAAAAGGCGAACAGGAGATGTGATAGCTATCATACCGATTTGGTTATTCCAAACCATCTCGCTTACATCAGAAGGATGCCTGCTTACCATAACATGGAAGCTGCTAGCGAAGGAGCCTGTTGAACAGCAAGATGTGTACAGGCCCCCCACTGAGTGGACCTGGGAGACAGTACGGCCTGTGGGGCTGCAGGAAGGAGCCGGATCAGACAGTAGAAGGGCTGCCTTCAAAGACCAGATTGATGTGACCCTTCAGTTACTCAGCCCTCGGGGAACATAAAACTTTGATTTGCAAACTGTTCTGTAGTAAGGGCTGAGCTTCCTGCACCAACCAAAGCAGCTCTTTTATCTTTTATCTTTTATCTTTTTATTTTTATTTTCT